TATCTTTGTAAAGTGATCCAAATTTATGAATTATTTCTACAGCAATCTCAATCCATGTTGAATTTGCTAATTCTAAAGCAAATTAATTTTTCAAGATTTAGGTTTTTTTGCTAATTATTTATTTTTACCAAAAATTGATTTAAATAATTTTTCAAAAAAATCTTAATGATTAATATAATATCTCTTATATTATAATGGTCTAAGAATTAAAATAAAATTATTAATAATATTAGAAATTTGAATAGAAATTTTTTGTTCTTTTTTTATCTATTAAGTAAATTAATCACTTTTCTTATAAATAATTGACCTGAAAAATTAGCAATAATTAGTATTATATTTTCTTGAAGATAAGTATTTAATAAAGGAATTTCTGTTATTATTTAATAGCTTTTAAATAATTATCTAAACTTTTAAGATTTAATTCTTTTATATTAACTAGATGATAATTTTTCATTGATCTATCATTTTGATGTTATTTTATAGAATTATTATATGAATAAATAGTTAAAAATTCTATTCTATCAAATTTATTAATATTAATTAAATTATTATTTTGTAAATTATATTTTGTTACATTATAATTTTTACTTAATAAATCAAAATATATATGTATTAAATAATAATTAATTCTTTAATTTTCAATAATTATAAATTAAAATATTATTTTTTATTGCTATATAGAAGTACTATTTTCTATAGTTTTAGCAATACATGTGAGGATATGTTATTAAAATCATGTTACAAATCATATGATTTATATATTTGTAACTCAATTTTAATAGCAAACCTCCCATATTGCTATATGATATGTTGATAAAAGAGATGTTATATTTAGATTTTTATAACTATGTATTAAATGATAATCATCAATATTAAAACAAAATAAATTATTTTTATTTTTTTTAAAATATTGATTTATTTTATTAAAATAATTATCTAATATATTTTTTTTATATTTTTCTACTGTTTTAAAAGATACTGAAATTTCAAGTTTTGTCATTATATTAATACATTCAAAAGTAGCATTATATGAAGATAAATAAAGTCTAATTTTTAATTGAAGAAAATTATTAAATTATTTTTTAAATTAAATAATAAATAACAAAAATCAACAAAAGATTTTTTACTATTTTCTATATTATTAATTTTTCTATTTAATGAAAGAAAAATATTAACTAATTTATTAAAAAATTCTTTTAATTGTGATTTATCTTCTTCAATTATATTTTAGGATCTAATTCAATTTCTAAATGTAATTGTCTTTGTCTTTTATATAAACATTTTAATAATAATTTAATTTTTTCTTTTAATTGATTTAAATAATTTTTTTCATATTCATTTATATTTTTTTATATATTTTTAATTTTATTTATTAAGTAAAAGATCAAAATTATTTTTAGAAAAAATTACTTTATCATCATAATATTTCATATTTATATTAGACCAATAATTAAAATTTAAATTATTATTATTTATATTTAAAAAATGAAATAATTTAGAATCTATATAATCATCATCATTTCTAATATTTATTTCATTAAATTTTTTTGATTTTCTTTTTTTACTTTTTCTATCTACTTCTACAATTGATAAATAATATAAAAAATACAATTGATTATTAATTTGAAGATAACTATAATTTTAATATGTATTAATGTTTATAGCTTTTTCTTTACTTAATTGAGTAAATTTTCTAAATTTATATATATATTTAAATCATTTTTATCACAATCTTTAACTTTATAAGAACCATTATTTGTACTCACTTTATAGATTTATTTGATATATACTTTATTTTTAATTTTAATTTAAGAATTTTTAATAAAAAAATTTATAAAAATACTAAAACGTCAAAAAAACTGGCCTTTCTATATTTGTAAATGATATGACGATCAATTTTGTACCAATTAAGATTAAAAATTATGTGATATTTCAAAAATAATCATCACAAAATTTAACCAATAAAATCGCTAAAAACTGACTGACTGGAAATGAACAGGCCTAGAGCATAAGGATCATCCTAAATTCCGCTAATCAGGATTGACCAAATTTTTGATATACAATAAACACTGGATAAGGTAAACTCATTACGCTACATATGTATTATCGTTAAAATTTTTTCAAGAGCTTTGAAACTAATCATAAAAATAACACACTCCTTAATCTCACACTAAAGTAGTTTAATCTCAAAAAACTAATACTCAATAGATATAATATATGATATAATATATGGATAAAGAAAACATAAACTTAAATTGCATCAATGTGGCAGCTTTTTTTCAACAAAATGGAGAAAAATTACAGCATATATGTTAGAACAATTATCAAAAAACTCAGAACAACGTATTATTCAAAGTAAAAACTTATTATGTGAAGGAGATTTACTTTATCATAAATATTATATATATTATTTAAGAAACCTAGTAACAAAAGCAGAACAACAAGAATAACAATTAAACAAAAGCAGCACGTTAAACTACCACCTAATGTGTCATCACAAAGAACCTTAATTCCAGTTCAATCTAAACCTTAGGCTTTAAGAAGCACTCATATTGCTATACCTATAGATGTTTTTGAACAACAACAAGTTGAATTAGTTTTTTTGTATAACATTGTAGAAAAGCAATAATCTGAGTTGGATTTTTTACATGAGCAAATTTTACGTGTGAAAGAATAATTAGCAAATAAGATGCAAAAATGTTCTGAGATTTCAAAAGGTTAGTTATTTGTTTAAACAGTGTACTGTAGATATAATAATTTAATAGATTAATTTTTGTTGTAGAAATAGACACGTTAAGAATATTTAGAATTGTCGTTGGACTTAATTTTTTTACCTTTTTATTATTCTAAGATTGGTAGCTTGGTAAGGAATAGAGTTCCAATAACAGTCCATCACTAAATTTAATTTTTTTTTCTTTTTTAATTTTTGGTTTTTAACGAAACTGTAATTAATCAAATTTAACTTTCCTTTGTTTTATAATGTATTTCTTTTTAAAAAAATATATTGAATTAAATAAAATTAAATGGCAATACCATATAAGATCATAATAATAATTTTTTTATTTAATTTTTTAGATATATCAATATTTTCTCTATTATTTCAAAATTGTGTTAAGAAAATGACAGATATTTTGTATCGTTTGCAACATCATCAAAATGGCAATGAAATTTATGATCCTGAAGATTTTCTTAATACAATTGCTGCTCAAGCACCTGAGTTACGCCAATTTTTGATATGTTATATCAATCAACAAATCTGACTGGAAAATGTGAAAAAACTAATGTTGTTAGTAAAGGCCGAATTGTAGTACTTTGTTATCAACTTGCTTCTTTTTGTAATAAACAAATGACTTTACTTAAACGTGATGCTGGATTATTTTTTCAACATTTGGGATTATCTAAGAAAAGGATTAATACTTTATTAAATATGGGAATTTCAACTACTTTTAAAACAATTAATCAAACAAGAGTGAAGATTAAAGATAATCTTTGTAGTAATTTTTTGAAGTATTTTCAAAATCATATATGTATAGCCAATTAATTGGTAATTTTAATAATTAAAATAAATATTTAACGATCAATTAATTTATTTATAAATTAAATTTTTATATATCTTGAATGTGAATGATTATCATAATATTCATGAAGCCCGTCATCCTGCAACAACATCTCTTCATCATATTTCTCACATGACTACTATTATTATTAATACACTACCAATTTCCGCAATTAAACAAATTACCAATGAAAATTTTCATGTTCATAATCCTTTAATAATTAATATTAATGCTTTATGTAATACTTTAACTTATCAATACATATTACATTTTAGTTTTAGTTATACTAATTGATGTCTATTTTGGTATGATGTTCCAGATATAACAAAAATGAATCCAACTGACTTAGAAGATTGGCTAACAGTTCATGTATATGATCCTCAAATTAATTGCAAAAAAAATCAACATTCTATGAAACATGTCAAACTTGTTGATTTAATTCCACTGGATCTTAAATCAATTAAACAATATCTTGAGACGCTTCAGGTTTTATTTAATATTGCACCTATTAAAAATTATTTACAACAAAATGTAATTCCAATTCCTGCGAATTTTCCTGGACAAGTATATATATGATCTGCTATTATTCAAAAACTAAAGGGGAATAACAATATACCTAATGAAATCTTAGGAATTATTCCTATATTAGGCCCTCTTCATATTTCTTTGAATAGTCATAAAATTCTTATTATGAAATATTGGCCATTTTTTGATAAACTTTGGAAAGTAGTAATGGACAACGAAAAAAACTAACTGCTAAACCTAAACCTTAGCAAATTAACTTAATTCTATGTATTATTTATTCTGCTTGGCTTTTAATTAAAACAAAAGTAACTCAAAAGTTTCAAACTTCAAAGGATTTAAAATATTGTACTTTATTGATTTATTGGACAATCTTATTCCTTTAACGCTTGAAATTTATGCAAATCTTTTTTATGGAGGATTTTTTGGTTATTATATTGAATCTATATTTCGTGTATGATGTCTTTTTTGAAGAATGAGACGTAAAAATTATGATAAAGCTCCTTTAATTTTTCTTTCAGATATTATTTATTGGGAAACTACTGGTCATCCTCTTTTTGAATGTATGCGGAGTAATCTTCTATTTTTAATGAATATTTTGTAGAAAATTTCCATTCTAGTTTATGAAGACAAACATCACATAAAATATTAAATCATGAAGGCCTTCGAAAAGATGCATTTGTTGTAGATACTTTACATAAAGATAATAATTTTAATAATACATATGTCCAAGAAAAGCAATATTCATGGAAAGGCAAAAAATTACAAAATTTAATTTTTCTTACAGCAGATTTTTTATTAAAATTTTTTTCTCAATTATATGATAATCAAAATAAAAGTTATATCATTGAACATAATAGAGGAAGATAATTAAAATATCCACAGTATTTTTTGGCTACACTAAATACAAAAGTAGATGTTATGCTTCTTCCAACGGGATATAATTCAGATCAGCCTCCTTCTTCTGAAAAATTTTGTGATTATGATCAATGTTCAATTTTATTGGATACTGAAAATTCGCGTCAGGTTTTAATTTGTGGTCACGTATATCATAGTGATTGTTTAAAAATTTTAAATTTCGTATGTTTACCTTGTACACGTTATTTTTGTGATGGAATTAAAAAAACTTTCTCGAAGTTTTATGGATAGATTATCAAAAGGGGTTTTGGAAAATTCAGAAGAGGATTATAGATGAAGATAACGAGAATGATGATATGTTTGAGATGGATAAATTAGACGAAAACTATTTAGCACAAGAAAAGTTCTTTTATTCATTGTCTTTGTTTTGATTTTTATAAACTTCTAGTTTAAATAA